GAAAGGACATCGCGGACCGGAGACCGCCACCCAGTGAGCAAGTCCTCCTCTATGCCGAGAGAAATGCATGGAGGGAGATCCACAACCTGGTTTATGGGGGGATGGGCCTCAAGGAGGCCATGACTCAACTGCGTCAGGACACCCTGTTCTGGACGAGGGAGGTCTACGAGTCCGTTGCACGACAGAAAGGCAACAAAGGCACGGGGGGACCAGACTCCCCGCCACGTCCTGCCAAGTCCAAGGGAAAACAACCTTCGTGGTCACCGACCCAGCCACAATGGAACAAACAAAAAGGATCCCCAAAAGGGGGCAAGGCCAAAGGAGCCATGGGATCTGGAAAAGGGATGGCTTCCGAGTGGCCATCGAACTGGGCGAAGATCTCACCTAAAGGAGTGCAGTACTGTCGTGACCACTTCCTCAAGAAGAAATGCCCAGGCAACTGTGGGCGATCCCATAACTGTCCGGTCCTCAAGAATGGTTGGGTATGCAATGCCGCGCCCTCAGAACACAACCCAGAGCAATGTCCCCACCGTTGACTCCTGGTGGCACCGGTAGCGTCTTGCACCGATCACCCACCGGGGGAGATGGATATCCCAGCAACAGCCAACAAACAAGGGAGAACGGATCGGCACGGGTCCACTCCAGATGGCAACACTGGTGTAACCACACCACACACACACCCACCGGCCGGGAGCCGACCACAAAACCCAACAGTTCCCATGGATGGACATGCAGGCCTTGCTTAGGCACTGTCCATGGCTCTCAACGGTCCCACACAGGCTGTTGGAGCGTCTTGTTTGGACTACACAGCCCACGACCAGCATCCAGGGCAGGGGGGACATTCTGCTCCTCCACACGGGCCCCCGTGATGGGGGGGCCCTGGATGACATCATCACCCAACAACAACAGGACCTGGGCCCCAGGATCATTGCTGTGGATATCCTGAGACCACCAGAGACAGGTCCAAACGACATACTGGATGATGTTTTCTACTCAACTCTCTGCTGTGCCGCCGTCGGGGGCAAACTATCCTTTGTTGGGGGCGGCCCAAATTGTAGGACGTGGAGTATCCTGAGGTGGTT